TTAACTTTCTTTAGATTACATGGGTTTTTTATGCCCAGTCCTATTCTAGGATTGTAAAATCGGTCATACTTTATTCGATTGAGAAAAATTGTCTGTTCAGACTGACCTCTTTTAGCAGCTAGATCCTCTAGTTCTTTTACTTTGTTTAAAAGTGTTCTTCTCTTATTATGCAAAAAATCGCATTCAGCCTTTGCTGTGCTTTTTTCCCGTTCACTATCCTCAAATTTCCTAGTCAATTCAGCTATCTTAAGTTCAAAACTTTCAAAATCTGAGGACACCTTTTTGACCTGATCTTTCGCAATTTCAAGTTGAACACTTAAAGAAGACTTTTGGTCTAGATTCTGTTTCAGTACCCTGTGATTATTGTCGAGTCTCTCCTTTAGTTCTTTAATTAGATTGTCCTTCTCAAGTAAGGACTGAATTTGGTTATTTAAAGGAGTATGAGAGGTACTTACAGAGCTTGTTGAGCATTCACTTTCGGGGATCGCAACATCACCCTTTCTTTCATCTTCCTCCACTCGTGCCATCAGGGCATAGTTTTCTTCTTCCTCCTCCTCATCAGAAGAATCTTCTGCCCAGTTATCATTCTCATCAATCATTGCAGAAGTTTCTTCTTCTTTCTGCACCATCAGCATTTTCTGCTTATTCCACAGCATCTTCTGCTTGTAGAAGTTAGCATCCTTCTTCTTTGGGAGGCGGCAGTCTTTGATGACATGTCTAGCCTTTCCACAATTGTAGCATTTGGGAGCATCTTCAGCTGATGGCGCCTTTCTAGAAGATCCTTGTTCATGGTTCTTCTGTTTGTAGTTAGATGAGGAGGTTCTCAGCTTGTTGGAGGAGCTGTTCTTCTTTGCAAATCTCTTGGCAAGCAGTGCCATCTTTTTCTGTGAGTCTGCAAGCTCAGCTTCCAGATCAGATTTGTCATCATCAGTTTCATCATCATCTGATTCAACCACCACCTTCTTCTTTTTCTTCTTCAGTGGTGTGGTTGTCCTTCTGGGCTGAGCTTCCATCACAAGAGCTAGGGGATTTGCGGTGTGATGATCCTCGGCACAAACAACCTCATTGATAAATTGCTTCAGATGTTCATATAGAGTGCAGAGGTCAATTTCATCCAAGTCAATGCGAGATCTAACATCCTTCACTATCTTTTCCCATGCAGGATGCAGGCTGGATAGAAATCTAATATTCAGTTCCAAGTTGGACCTGAATACTTTGATTTTTCTAAGTTCATTGACCAGTTGGACGAGTCTGTTGTAAGTCTCGTTCAAAGGTTCTCTCGGGCCTGCTTTGAAGGAGTCATAAGCAATAAGAATTGTAGTCTTCTTGGTCTTAAGGCTAATGCTTGTGCCTTGGAGCAGTTTCTCTATCTCATCCCACATTTCCTTAGTTGTCTGCATGCTATCGATGAGAACGTATACTTCATTGGGGATTGTTTGAAGAAGGTATGTTTTGGCCATGAGATCACCACGAAGCCTGAGCCTGTCAGCTTCCGTGTATTCAGATGCCACTTTCCTCCTTATTTCTGGAAGAATAGGAGGGTTGTTTTCTAGATCACCACCAACTGAAATCACGAGTTCAGCTGGTCCTTCAAGCAAAGATTCAAGCATCGCAGCGGCGTTCTCTTTGTGCTCAAGGAAATTAAGGAATCGATTCCTCAACATTTGGTATTCTCCTTTCCTGAGACTGGGAGGGGTACTGCTGTTCCCTTGCGCATTGAATTCTGAGGCCATTGCTGTATTAAACTGACCGTTCGAGATAATTGATCAAAAGATTTTCAGAGGCAGAATGTCGAAAAATCAGATGTCGAGATCTGAATATCGAGATCTCAGATTTCGATAAAGGAGGCCCGATTTCGAGATTTGAGGTCGAGATTGGGATGTCGAGATTAAGGATCTCGAGATTTCAAATTTCGAGAAGAGGATTTCGAGATTTCAAATGTCGAGAAGTTAAAACTCGAAATCTTATTTCGAGAAATCAAATGTCGAGACCAGATGTCGGAACCTTAAACTCGAAATCTTTGATCTCGAGATATAGATGTCGAAATCCTCAATGTCGAAATCCTGCAATCTGTAAAAATCAGATAAGCAAAATCTGAAGGTAGTTTCCTGTAGAGTAGGATGTCGAGATCCTTAGGTAAAGTTTTCAGCTCGAAATACCTGGCAGAACGTGCTTAAAACCTAGATGTCGACAAAGGCTACTCGAAATATCTCAAGTACAGAATTTGCGTAAAACGAAATCTGAAGTATACCCCTTGATCGCTTTGAAACGACGATTCTAAGGGTGTAACTTTTACAACTTTTGAACAAGAAACAAGATTACAGAGTAAAATATCGACAGAAAGAACAACGTAAAGAAAAACAGAGTCTTCTGCAGGCGTTCTTCTGATCGGCTCTCGATCGGCTCTGATACCAAATGATAGTCCTTGTTTCTGTAACAGCAATGAATAACAATCTAACAAAGAAGATCAAACGTAAAGATGAACACAGATGAATCGATGTAAAACCCTCTTTGATAGACCGTGAACTCGTACACAGAAAGATATGCGCGTAAGGCTATAATGAACAAGTACGAAAGTTAACCTAATCCTGAACCCTCGGCTCCCTTTTTATAGGCGAGGTTCAGGTTAGGCGAGAAAGGCTTTTAGCCTGTTTATATGGGCCTAACACTTGGCCCACATTCTATCTAATACATGCACTTATTTAATACAAGGAATAATAATAAAGCTAATCTATGACAAACTTGATTCACAATTAAAATATCTTCAACAATCTCCCCCTTTGTGATCAAGTGCCACTTTGTTATTGCTTATGTGACTTGAAGTAGTGCTTCCTCATATTCAGTGCATGCTCGTATTGCCTTAGCATATTTCTCTTTTCTAGACGATCGTCAATGGCTTTTAAAATGGTCTCTACTGTAGAGTGTTCCTTTTGAACATATGACGATGCCTCCTGAAGATTTTCCTCTAGCTGTGCCTTCATCTTTAGAAGCTGTTCTTTGATTATCTTCAGCGTTCCATCACAGTATTTCTCAATTTCATTGACCACCATTAGACGTTTTTCGTTCTTGTGGTTGAGATATGTGACTGCTGGCGGTGTGAAAAAGATGTGGTAAGCTGGGAAGTCTTCAAGTTCTGGACCATACAGTCTTGGCTTTGTCAGATTTGTTTTTGTCAAGTTACACTCAATAGCCATATGTAGGTCGTGTGACGAGTGCACTCTGATTTGTCTGAGCATGAATCTCTTGATTGCTGCAAGACCTTCGCTGTATGTTTTGCTTTGCCTGACTGGAAGGTATCGATAGGCCATGAACATTTGATATATGTCGTCTGGTTTAAGCATGATCAAGTCATTTTCTTGACAAGTAAATTCACTCCCGTCAGTGCGTTGAAGCCTGTAAGAATAGAATGTCACTCTGTGATAATCCTCAGCCTTCACTTGTAGAATTTGATGAATAGGGAGAATATTTGACTTCAAGTCTTGTTCCATCGGCTCTCTTTGAGAATATGTCACTCCGTACTTCTCAAACACCTCAATTGTCCACTTTTTTAACATCTCAAATTAAACAATTACCACTAGTTATTACTCCCTATGTTTTACCACTCATCCACCTCAATTGGGCAAATTATACAGTATGACCGGTATACGGTGAGCACCGTATACCGGTATACAGATTTCTTTTTTTTCCTTTTGTTTTTAAAAAATGCTAATAAGTTTTTTATTTTTGTTCTGATTTTTATAAAATTTATATCAACATTTTTTATTTTTCATGATCTTTCAAATGAAACCAATATTGTTTATGTAATTTTAAGAAATTATCGAACTATTATATTAATGAGTATTGGATTATAAGGAAAATCGAACTAAATTTAATACAGAAAAATAATTGTATAAATCACAATTTATCTTAAAATTGCGTATATAAATTTTTTTATTATGTATTTATACATGTGAGTTACATATTTTTATACGTAAAGTTACATATTTGTACACGTAAAATTACATATTTATACACACGAGTTGCATTTGGTCTGCTTGAACGCGAGTTACATATTTTTACACGTAAAGTTACATATTTTTACACGTAAAGTTACATATTTATACACGCGAGTTACATATTTTTACACGTAAAGTTACATATTTTTACACGTAAAGTTACATATTTATACACGCGAGTTACATATTTATACACACGAGTTGTATTTGACCTGCCTGAACGTGAGTTACATATTTTTACACGTAAAGTTACATATTTATACACGTGAGTTATATATTTATACACACGAGTTGTATTTGACCTGTTTGAACGCGAGTTACATATTTTTACACATAAAGTTATATATTTTTACACGTAGAGTTACATATTTATACACACGAGTTACATTTGGCCTGACTGGACGTGAGTTACATATTTCTACACATAAAATTATATATTTTACATAGGTTAATATAATAGTTCGATAATATGTTACATATTTTACGTAGATTGCACGGTATACGCACTCCCTCAATTGATATACGATATACTCCCATTGTCACTTAAAACTTTGACAACTTTCCTTTTTCAGATGTCCCAATAACTTTGTCACATTCCATTGTAAGTATAGAATTTGTGGCTCAAATTAATTATCTTTCCTCTGCCCAACTCTCAACCACACACTTTTTACTTTATTAATTCTGTTGTCGGTCAAATTTGCCCGAGAACAAGTGTTAAAAACCCTACCTGTACAGAATAGCAGCAATCTCCGACCGAACAGCCTTCGTCTACCATGGCGTCGCAAGAGAAGCGATGCCTTTACGAGGTTCTCGGCGTGAGCCAAAGCTGCAGCGCCGATGAAATCCGATCCGCCTACAAGAAACTAGCTTTACAGCGCCACCCGGATAAGCTGGTTCAATCCGGCGTCCCCGAAGCCGATGCCACGGCCGCGTTCCAGGAACTCGTGAACGCTTACGAAGTCCTCTCCGACCCACGCGAGCGCTCCTGGTACGACTCTAATCGCTCTAAGATTTTGTTCTCGAGTTCCTGTTCCGGCCCCAACAACTCTTCTAAGTTTGGCTCCGTCCCTAACCTCTTCTCCTTCTTCTCAAATTCTGTCTACTTCGGATTTTCAGACACCGGAAAGGGATTCTACAAGGTGTATGCTGACGTATTCGATAAAATTTATCTCAATGAATTGAATTTTGCGAAGAAGTTGGGTCTAATCTCTCCAAAAGAAGCTCCGCTTATGGGAAATATGAATAGTCCTTATGCTCAGGCATGCAGCTCCTCCCTCTTTTTATTCAAACCGCATTCTACATAGCTTGAGAAAATAAATTCGTTGGAATTAGTCATTTATCTGTAATCAATCTAAATGCTCCCAAGAAGCAGTATAGTGAGCAATCACAGATGAGATTAAGTATTAATATGTGTATGTTCATGCAATTACTATTCTACAATTTTGCATTTCTTTTACATACTATTACAAATTGGGAGGATAATATGTGGCGTTTTGGTGCAGGTGACGGCATTCTATAATTATTGGCTAGGGTTTACAACAGTGATGGATTTCTGCTGGGCTGATCAGTACGATGTGATGGCAGGGATGAACAGGAAGTCAAGAAGAGTCATGGAGGAAGAGAATAAAAAGTTGAGAAAAAAGGCACGCCGGGAGTACACTGACACTGTTCGAGGATTGGCTGAGTTTGTGAAGAAGAGGGACAAGAGGGTAATTGACATGCAAGTGAAGAGGAATGAGGAGATGGAGAGAAAGAGGGGGGTAGAGCAAGCTAGGAAGAAGGAGTTAGAGAGGCTCAAGGCAGAGAGGGCAAAAAGGTATAAGGAGCCTGACTGGATTCAGGTTGATGACACAGAGAAGGATGAAGCTGCTGATAAAACATCAGATGATGATAATAAAGAGGAAGTGAATGAGTTATACTGCATAGCATGTGGGAAAAGGTTTAAGAGCGAGAAACAATGGATAAATCATGAGCAGTCTAAAAAGCATAAAGAAAAGATTTCAGCATTAAGAGAAGTGTTAAATGACGAGGACAAAGTGTTTGAAGAAGCAAATGTCAATGGAAGAAAAAACGAGGAGGAAGAGCAAAGTACACCTAATTCTGCTGAAAGCGGCTATTTATCAGCTACAGATGATGCCGTGGATGAGTTGGGGGAACAATTAGAGGGTAGTTTTGGAATTCTTGCGAAGAGTGATGATTATCAAGAAGTTGAAGAACCCAAGACTGGATATACAGGTGATGGTGGTCCTAGGAACTCAGATGATGATGATGATGATGATGATGATGATGGCGATGAAGCACGTATCCTTGAAGCTATGGTATCGGGGCACAGAAGTAGAAAGAATGTTGTCTCCAGTCACCATTCTAAGATAAAATCTGATGAAAATGAATTGAACTTTATGGAATATAATAATCTGAAGATTAGTGGTAAGAAAAAGGGAACCCGTAAACGCCGAAATAGGAAAGCTGAAGACCCAACAGAAGTTAATGAGGAGGAAACCAATGAGGCAGAACGTAGTGAGCAAGTGGGGGGAAATACTGTATATGATGAAAACATGGATAGTAATAACCCTACATCAATAAATATTGCATATGATGAGAAAAACATGGATATTCAGACTTCATCAACATTGCCAGTTTCATCCAGAACCAAGACTCTTGATGGTCAAGAGGATGATTCGTCGGAAAAGGTTGAAAAGATTCCAAAGCAAGCTACTATTGGCAGTAGGAATAACACAAAGAGGGATAATCATAATACTAATACTATATCAAAGAATGTTTCCAAAGGGAGGAAAGGAAAGGTACACTTCTTATTTTCAAGATTATATTTCATACTCCCTCCGTCCCATAATACTTAGCGTTGACTTGCACGTAGATTAATAAAGTAAAAACTGTGTGGTTGATATTGGTGCAGAGGAGAGAGAAATAACTTTAGCCACATATTTGTTACTTTAAATGGAAATGACAAAGTATTTTGGGACGGTCAAAAAAGGAAAGTTGGCCAAGTATTATGGGACGGAGGTAGTATTATTTTTTATCATTAATGATTCTTTTTCTAATTAACTTCTCAGTCTGCGTCTGCTTGGATTTTATAGTCTTATTCATCTACCAATAATTACTTCTAGAGAAAAATTGGATGTTCCTCTTAGGGTGTCTTGGTGTAAGAGGATGAGAGTGGGTGTAGTTGGAAGGAGTGAGAGAGTTTTTGAGAATTATATTCATCTTCTATATGAATCTTTTAGTATCGATGACAGGGTACAAAGATCCTCCCCCGTTCTCCTTGTTTCACTTCAACAACAACAACGTCCAAGCCTTATTCCTAAAAGATTCATGTTTCACTTGTATTATTTAAAAATATGTCATTTAGAGTTGTCATCCGTTCTAGTTTCTATACTACCTAGATTTAAAATTCATAGGAGACTAATTTTTTTATTCCATTTATTGCTGTTTTTTTACAGTCAAACTCAAGACGTTCAGGCAATGCATGTGAAACATGTGGAGAAGAATTCGAATCCAGGTTCGTACACCAGATAAGTTGCCATCTATGATCTATTTCTTTTTTTTATTTTGCCATGTCTTATTATGTGTTTACTCTATTCCCTCCTACATCAGGAATAAACTGCACAAACATTTGGGAGAGACGGGACATTCTTTGCTCAAGTCAAGATAGATCATCTATCTTTTTTTTTCTTCCAACAGTTGATGCATATGTATTTTTCATTCATTGGCCCTTTTATTGGAATGCTTTTAGTTTCCTGGATGTTTAGGGTTTTGCGTGATAGGATTCACCCAAAAACTTGATACAACCCACATTCTTTCCCCTGAGGGTAGAGGCAAGGTCTACACAAATCTCACTCTCCCCACGCTTTAATTCTGGGCAAGATATGTTGTGTTTATTTGGACTGGTTAACTTACAACTTGATATTCTCCCGCTCAGAACATTTTCCCATTTCACTCACGCGCTGTGAAAGCCTGTAATTTACTTGAGAAGTTTTGGTGCATTTAGAGAAAAATATATTCTTTCTATGTGGTGCCAGTTTATTCATCGGTTACACGTGCGATACACAGATCACAATGGGCTGTTTAGTTGTTGATTTTCCTCTTTCTGCTTTAAAATTGCTCTCAATCAAAAAGCGCATCGTATGATTCGTATCTAGCACAAAGCATAGTTTGAGATTAGAAATTTTAAAGTGGAAAAAAACTTAGAAGCGGTTGTTCGAGTTTTTTTATGGAATAATGCTAATTAAATAAATTATTCTTGAAATACTGCCGGGTTAAGAATAATTTCCAAAATACTGTTGGAATTAACCACGGTTAAGGAAAGCCGTCACTTCAAGTGACGGCTCTTGTATTACTTCACAAAAGCTGCCACTCCGAGTGGCGGCTCTTCTCTTATAGTACAAAAGCCGCCACTTCAAGTGGCGGCTCTTCTCTTACGTCTCATTTTGTACATATATAAAACATAGTATGTTTCAAGAATTTGTTTAACTGTCTTCCCGGTTGAATTTTGAGCTAAACTTTGGTATGCATAAACTAGACTTGATGAGGAACATGTTCAAAAAAGTTCATTAAAAAATTCCATCAGAAACATGACAAAAAAATCCCTCTGATGGTTTTGTCCGTGGGGGGTTCCGGTTCGGACGTCATGACAAAAGGGTGGTCCGGCCACCTCAATTTGAGGTGATTCCCGGTGGGATGTTTTGCTGGTTTTTTTGTTTATGTTATTCATCAAGTCTACTTAATCCATATCAAATTTCAGAACCAATCTCAATCGGGAAAGCAGTCAAATGATTTTTTTAAAGATAACTGTGTTTTATATGTATAATCCGGCGTAGTTATCTTTCAAAAATCATTTGACGGTCTTTCAGATTGAATGTTTTGCTTAAATTTGGTATGACTGAACTAGACTTTATTAAGAACATACACAAAAAAATTCATCAAAACATACCACCGGAAACCACCTCAAATTGAGGTGGCCGTACCACCCTTTTGTCATGACGCCTGACCGGAACCCCCTGCGGACAACACCATTAGAGGGTGTTTTCGGTTGAATTGTTTGATGAAATTTTTTGAGCATGTTCCTCATCAAGTCTAGTTTATGCATATCAAATTTCAGCTCAAAATTCAATTCGGAAGGCCGTTAAACAAATTCTTGAAACATACTCCGTTTTATATATGTACAAAATGAGACGTAAAAGAAGAGCCGCCACTTGAAGTGGCGGCTTCTGTAGTATAAGAGAAGAGCCGCCACTTGAAGTGGCGGATTTTGTACTATATGTGAAGTAATACAAGAGCCGCCACTTGGATTGACGGCTTTCCTTAACCGTGGTTAATTCCAGCAGTATTTTGGGAATTAGTTTTAACCCGGCAGTATTTCGGGAATGATTTATTTAATTAGCATTATTCCGGGAAAAAACTCTATTTCTATGATAATAATTATAATTATTATTTCTATAATAATAGATATTATTCATCCGTATAATAATAATGATTGCTAGATAATTGCGGAGGGTACACAGAAAATTAATTAGGAGTTCTTATATAGGCTCATAGCTTATAGATGAAAAGCTAGTTGGTTATGAATTAGTGTTTTATCTGACTTGGGGTGTTGATGGTAAATCTCTTTAATGAACCATGGCGTGTGAGATAGTATATAGTAACAACTTTAATGACCAAAGATAGTATACTTAATGAACCATTACAGTTTTAATGGCGTGTAAATCTCATTATAGATCAACTTCAATGACCAAAGATTATTTTTTGCAACCTAAGAAGAGCATATTATTATTGTTCAAAGAAGAGAAAGCATTCACTCACATCCCATAGTGTGGTGGATGATTAAGTTGAAGATTGCATTCAGATCGGATCAGAAACATTCAGCTCAGATTAGAAACATTCAGATAAAAATCTCTATTTATTACAGATAAGAGTCAAATAAAAGTTGTTACGATTACAAAAGTCTATACTTACCATAAATAGAATCATAGGAGAATTGGAATTTACAAAAAAATCAATCGACTACACACATAACTCTCTACTCTCTCGTCATAGCTTATTTGTTAATTTTACTTTCACTTCTCTCTTGGTTGGCAAAAACTTGAACAAGCTGAATATCCAAACAGTAAAAAAATGATTTCTCTATAACATAAGCAACGAAATGATGGTATAGAGTAACTTCTCTCCTTCAAATTCATATTCTACTATTCTTACTCCCAAATCAATAATGCCTTCACGCATAGCCAAATGGAAGCTTGAAGCTAAGTTTAAGTTTTATAATAATAAATCATACGGAGTACTAGCTAGCAATACGTTGTTAAGATGGTTCTCATTCTAAAAAGTAAAAGTTAGTGAACATGAACTTTTCGATGTATTAGTTTGATAAAATGTAATAAAAATGTGAAAAGCAACATCATCATCTACACTTTTTTGCTTTAATAGAAGCACCTTTTTGAAAATTTAATTTTAATTTTGAAAGATTTTATTTAAATATTCAGAAAAACTATATTTCATCAACACTTGTACCTTTAGGTTAAACTCAATTCAATTTTTGGACTCAAAAAAAGGTCTAATTCGCATCTTGAATTAGAAAAAATGGTTCAAATTTCAGTTTTAGCGGCTTACCATTCAGTCACCCGGCATGTCACTCCTCAAGTTGCCAATTGTGCATCTAACTTCGAAACTGAAAGCTCAAATAAGTCCCTGAACATGTTTGAATTGTTCAGTCAACCCCCAACTTTAAAAAAGGTTCAACATTGGGATAAATTCAAAATCTAATTTTTTGAGAAGTATTGTTAAATTAATAACCAAATGTATTGTTAAATTTGTCTCATGCTGAAGTTTCAAAAACTATTTTTTTTTCATTTTTTTATTAATAACCAATTACATACATTAGTGGTCAAAGTTGCCTTGAAAGATAATTATGAGTTAAAGTGCACTTTGACTTACAGTCATACTGTGGAACTGACATGGAGCAAAGAGCCTGTTTGCGAAGGAAAAGTAATGACTGGTACAAACCGACCAACATGGTTTCTAAATAAAGCTTACTCTCTCCGTCCCATAAAATTCTTCTCAACAATTTGCCTTTTTAGGTCGTTCCAAACAATTCTTCCCACTTACCATTTTGGACAATTTGTGTGGTTCACATTCATTTCACCTTTTTCTTACACAACTACAACTACACATTTCCACTTTATTCCACTTTCTTAATCTCTGTGCCAAGTCAAACTGGGAAGAATTTTCTGGAACGGACGGAGTAAATCTTTTTTTAACTAGTATGACCGTCTAAGTTGACTATTTCCTATTCAGTGTATTTCCAATGACATTAAAATAAGAGCAAGAAATAAGAAATATAATAATAACAATAATGTGCTTATAGCAGCAACATGGTGACCGATAGTGTTCTACAATATCCATTAAATGATATAAACAAATATAAATATCTTAAGAATGGGGACAAATTGAGTATGAGGACAAAAGCGTAATTCAACTCTGTTGTAAATAACTGAATAAGTTTCAATTCCCATATGGAGGTGTCATCTGCTTCTCATAATAAAAACATTGGAAGGTAGAAAGGGAAATTTCTAATGAAGACTTTAAAAGGAGGATAAAACAGTCGTCTTAAAGCTACAAAATTTCTATTGGGACATTGTCCTGCAATGGAGGTGACTAACGATTCTTCTTTGCCTTGGCCAACTTTTTCTTTTTCTTCTTCACAGTTTTAGGCACTTTATGTTTACGAGCTTCCCGCTTTTCTTCCTTAACCTTCTTCTTGTTCTCCTTCCTAGCAGTTCTCTTTTCCATTGCTGTAGGTTTATTATTATCACCATCGTATGATGATAAACTATCCTCTTCATCAGAATCACCACCGGTTTCATCATCATCATCAGTTTCAGCCTCTTCTAGATTATTACTGTTATCATCATCCAGCAATTTGGTACCAGAGGCTGCTTGTGTTGATCTCTCCACCAAGTGATGCTTTTCTACTGCAGAGATGGCTTGCTTAAGCCCTGTTATGGTTTTGTAGTACAAATCCCCAGTGTCCTCTCCGCTGGCAATGCGTTGCACATCAGCCTCTGCGTTTTTCACAGTGTCTAGTCTTTTAGGAATGAATGACTGCAACAGAACAATAATACATGCAGGGTTTAATAATAATAAAAAAAAAAGCCAAAAAGGTCAGGTAGCTGCTAGTATACTTCATCGGCTTAACAAACACTCGAATCCAGCTTGTCATAATACCTGGGCAAGTATTTTTAGCTTATCAGCCTCTTTTAGTCAGCTTTTTTACCAACCATTCATTTTCTAATTACTCATGCACTGTATGGATACTTTCAGGCTGAATTGGAAGAAAAAGACCATGATAAATCCTTTCCATGTATACTTTCTCAGTTAGTTTCTCTTATAGTTTATTAGTAGAATATATTTCAAATATAATGTTTTTTATAATCATGAGAACTCAGCTACTTCAAGGTAAATTCAGCAGATTATCAGTATGAGTGTTACCAAACGAGCTCTATATCCAATAACTGATGCATAGAGTTTTATTCCTCCCGGCTCACAAGTAGTGAAACACGACTTTATAGAGAAGGAAACACATTCTTGAACACTAAAGTATTGAAACTGTCCCAAAGCGTTTTATTTTCTATGGAAACCATCCCTAAATGTTTCTGAAAATGTTTCCATGTGTGAAACGTGTTCCACACCCATAAACGCTAAATTCTGAACAGCTTCCTTGCAACATAAGAGCTTGTTATGCTCTATGTAATAATCACACTTTCTAATGTGCGTATAGAACCTGGATGAAAACAGAGTCTGCAATTTCATCCTCTGCTGTCATTTCACCTCTAGCCAAAATCTTCTGTTGAACCTGAAACATTTTATGAAGAAGCACAGCATAACAAGGATTGCTAGGGGATGAAAGTTTAATTTAGATGATAAAATGGAAACCATGTATTATAGTGTTATACCTCTTCTAAGTAAGCATCTACATTATCATCATCAATGGTAGGATCAACTATGAAATCAAACAATTCTCTAATCGTCATGACGCCTACACCATGTTT